GCAAAAAGTGAGAATTGTATCTTACATTAAGGGCCGGTTACTCAATGTCTGGTTAACACTAATCTGCGGTTAAACATAGTTATCGACGTTACCGACTCCCTCTTGTATTTATGGAGTCGAAGACGTCGATAACGATGTTTAACCGCAGATTAGTGTTAACCAGACATTGAGTAACCGGCCCTAAGTATATCGAGTCTTAACCGCCAAAATAAAGTAAAGCGAAATTTGTTTCAAAATTTTATTTTTGATGCAGAAATGCATCTAGATGCTCTAGAAATATTTCTGCATCAAAAAGAAAATTTTGAAAAAAATGTCGCTTACATTATTTTGGGGCGGTTAGGGCTCGATATCTTCTTGTTATTTGGCGATGTAACCGCCTAAGCAATTTTGGCCGAGTTCAACAAAGCATTCCAGAATTTGAATTTTTTTATTGCATCAGTTTTTAGTTAATTTTCTCCTTACTCTTTGACGCACTTGAACTGTTTGGATTTAATACATTTTCTTATTTTGACTGAGCAATGTGTGTGGTAAGGATCAACAGATTATAAACAATGCAAAGGCATACATATGTACATATGTATTGGTAAACAAATCTATATACATGTGTACATATGTTCGTAAGTACATACAAACAGCGAAAAAATATAAATTCAAATCCGCATTAAAAAAACCGTCTAAAAAGAGACCTACGTGTATATGTATGTGCATATGTATAATGCACATGCACAAATCGGCTGTGGGGTACTGCATTTCTGTACAAGTACATATAGACATATCAACCCTGCAGTGAAAAGCTGAACTAGTTAAAGTTACCAAATCATGTGTTGAGAGAAATATTTTTCCTGAGTTTTTTCTGGGTGCAGTGAAATGCCAAACTAGGCAGCAAAAATATTAGTTCATTAACTAATGTGAACTAAAGCGACGGCCTACCATTTCGACGATTTCGAACAACTTATACGATCAGCGTCCATCTGTATTTGAATTGCCAAAACTATAACTAAAATGCAGTTCATTGCTTTCCTCACAAATGTCGGCTGTGTCGTCGAGTGAAAACTACCGATTCTGGCTTTGATCAGTGCTGCTGAAAGTACTAATATAGGAGTTATTTACCACTGTTTTGTTATTCATACTCTCGTACTCCCCAAGGACCGATTATACTACTATTTTACACTGTTAGGGCCGGTTGTTCAATGTCTGGTTATCACTACTTGCCGGTTAAACATCATTATCGACGTTTTCGTCACCATGCTTATAACATGTGATCGATAAAGCAGTCATTGTATTTAACCGGAGCTTCTACCTCCGATTTCTGCAAATCAGACATTGAACAACCGGCCCTTAAAGCACATTGCTTGGAATGATTTCCGATCACACTCTCCTTTTCAAATTTTATTTAAGTTTCTTAAAAATTTATCATCATTCAAAACTTACGACTGCAGTAATGAATTTATATTGGGTATAAAACTCTTTTGCACTCTTGGAGGAAAAGCTCGTTTATTGGTCCGAACACATAACGCGTGCAGGAAAGAGCATTTAGAATAGGGCTCCACAACAAGCTTTTCAGGCGTGCAGGCTTTTGGCGCTCAAGCCGTAATATAAAACGTATAGCGGAATAGAGCGCTGCACGCTTGAAAAGCTTGTTTTGGAGTTGTACTCTTAAGCTATACAACAAGTACAAATGTATACCGCACTTGCGGGGTTGGGACCGAAGCACAAAAAGGGGCCTGCAGTTTCGTTTTCATAAAGACAGGAAGGGCAAATAAGATAGTCAAGTATCCCAATCGCATTCAACGGTTTGTGCCTCGCGAAATGAATGCTTAGGAATTCCAAAAAATGTCTGCTATACTAGTTGCTTAATGAAGCAGCCCCTCGGAGCTTCCCAGTCATTACCGAGCGTTGTTTGCCAACATAATTTAGTTGAGACTTGCATTGCCTAGTTAAGACGTACTTAGTTTAAAGATTGTCCAATGACTTGCACTCATTTGGTCCAATACCCCTCCACCTATTTTCGATTATGTTGTCCCCGTCCTTGGACATTAAGAAACACGTCTAGGTCTCTACCCCAATAATTTCCACCTGACTCTTCAGGACACCTACTTCTTTTAAACCTTTAAGTGGCTTTAAGTTAGGCTTAAAGGGTCCTTAGGGGCATACTCCCCCACATTTCAAAATACTCCCCAAAAAATACGTTTTTCACTACTCTAAAAAATACAAAACGGCAACACTGGTTCTGAGATCTCAGGTAGTCCGCTAGAGGTGATTAAAGTAAATATGGTGCTGATGCAGAAGCGGACAATTGATATCTCCCATCACACCCCCATCTTAAAAATACCAATCGCTAACATTGAAAAGGGATACCAAGTGAACTAGTTGGGCTGAAACGCAAACTGGTAGCATTCTAGTTCACAACTAGTAGCTTTCCCTGCAGGGTACATGTACAGTTGTATCTAGTATGACTAAAAGTATGTACATACATTGGAGTGGTCCAAAAACAATAAAGTCGTGATTGTGCTATACCGAAAAATATACTCCCACTTTTTTATTTTGAAACCAAAAAAATATTTAGGGAGTGCGCAAAACGCTCAAAGTTTTCCACTGTATTTTATATGGGGAAAAACCTACTTTTCGTAGAAATGGTATAAAATTCTTGAAAATCAATATTTTTCGATCGGAAAACTGTGGTTGTCTTCAGCATACTTCCAATTTTAATATCCAACTTTTTATTTAAGCATTTTTTTCATACTAAAATTTTTTTAAAACAGCAGAAAATGCCAGGGGGGGGGGGGTTTTGGCGGACCTATAAAATATAGCTACCATAAAAAATGGTTAAAGAAACAATTGCGTATTATTATTGGCAGTCTCGTAAAAAGAAACAGAGGTTTCCGATGGAAAAATATTGGTTTTCAAGAATTCTACACCATTTCTACGAAAAGTAGTTTTTCCCCATATATAATTCATGGAAAACTTTGAGCGCTTTGAGCACTCTCTAATTTTTTTTTTCTCAAAATAAAAAATAGGGGTATACTTTTTGGTATAGAACATTCCTAGGTGGTGGCGGCAATAAAAGTCCCCACTTTACTTTTTCACATGCATTTTTGGACCACTCTAATGTACATATGTACATTAGTTGTACGTAATAATAATCATAAGAAAACATACATACAATCATGCATACATATGCTGGAAAATTCGAAGTTTCTGGAAGGATTGTGATGAAAATTTAAAGGCGAAGGTCACATAGCAAAAAAAAAATGTACATACTAGTGAGACAAAATTAAAGCAAAATGAATGCAAAAAAGTAATGTTTTATAATATGCATATATTAAAAAGTTGAGTAAATAAAAGTTGTAATAATTTGAATAAAATAAAAATAAATGTAAAATAAAGAAGGTAAATTTTAAGTATTTTAAAAATAAAAGGTTTTATAAAATGGAACAATTAAAAAGAAACAATAATTTGCATTAAATATCGCCAATTAGTAATTCAGAGCAAACGCCAAACTATTTGAAGTTATAATTGAATAAGCGTAAGTGACATCAAAGTCGTAGTTTGTCCATTAAAAACACTTTCACACAACGGACGGTTAAGTTGGGGAGTTCACAAGGTGTTGCATACGTTTAACAACATTTAAGAACGTTTAACAACATTTAAGAACGTTTAACAACGAATAAAACGAATGTTTATTTTCAGAAATCGGTTGAAAACTGACTGAGTTATTCAACTTTTCACAAAATTAATAAAAGGTTTAACTAAACAACTCAAAAATGCTTGCTTAAACTTTTTTTTTTTAATTCAGCAGCATGTAGTGAAGGGCAATATTCTTAAATTATTTTTTATGAAAATTTTAATAACTCAGTTAGTTTACAACCAATTTTTTAGTGTGCACAGAGAGAAAAAACTTCTTTTAGCCACTTTCTTCAAGTACTATTTCGAAAAACTTTAAAAACAACATTTTGCGTGTTTAAAGCAAAGCAAAACCCCGTATTATTTTAGCCTTATTGGATTTTCGTTGCCTCTTTTGGATTTAGCAAATTTAATTTAATTCCAAAATTAAACGTTCTCCTTTTAATATATTTCTCTTTTTAAGAAAAATATTAATAATTTTAATAAACAAAACTAACCGCATTACCAAAACGCGCACTGTTTTTTATTTTAATTTTTATTTTTTTTATGTTTTTTTTTTAATTATTTCACCAATTAAATCAAAAATACTGGTTCATGAACAACTTAAATCGTTTTATTTAAAAAAAAGCAAAAATCGAATAAAAAATTAAATTCATCTTTTCTCAGTTTAAAATCTAAATTTTCAAAAGCTTATTCAAGTACATGATTTGCTTTATAAATTCAAATATAAAAAACTACACATGACTATAAATTTAACCTATTTTGGCTAATAATATATTAAAAAGTATTTTTTACAACTTTTTCATTTAATTTCAGCAAATCTTAGAAACATCATAAATTTTTTACCGAAAACCAATGGATGTCAGGACTTTTTCTGATGTGCGTACTTAGCAGGGTAAGTAAATACATGTGTACACATTTATATAGTTTTATACATATTCATATGTACATATATACATATTTGTTCAGTTCTGGAAATGTTCCAGCAATACACAATTTTTACATGCATACATTTGTACATACATACATATGTAGATAAGTATGTATAAAAATGTGGAAGAAAATCAATAAATGGCAAACAACAAAATTATGGCTGAAAAGCATTATTTACATGCGTACATATTTATGCACTTACTTATGTATGTACATATTTATGAACCTACATTTTTTTATTTACATACATACATAAGTATCTATGGATGTAAGAAAGTTGCACCTCTTTCCTAATACTATGAAATCACCAATAAACTGTGTATACAATATTTTTCGCTTTTATAGGAAAATACATTTTTCTTATTTTTCGTTCAAATTCTTCCCACTTTTCGCACACGCCCGTTTTTTATTAGGGTTTTTGTTTTTTAATTTTTGCAACTTACCTGAATTTTGCCATTTGCGGTGTGTCTGACATGCGATGTCTGATACTCATAATCGGTTTCGATGTAATTGTCGCTGATTTGCACTTTCGGCGAAATGACTTCCAAGCTAGCAGTGTCCACTTTCATGTTGAAATAGTACTTTTTTGCTTTGGTTTTTGTTTAACAAATTTAAAGTCTGTTTTTTATTGCTGGCACTTTGTGCTTTGATGCCTTTTTAAATGTTAAATTACAGAAATCGCACAAAAACAATTTTCTAAAAATTGCGGTGGTTATGACAGTCTTTTTTGAAATAATTTTATTAAAATGCTTAAAATATTTACGCTTTTGCGTTGTTTATCTCAGTATTTGCAAAATATATAATTGGTAGTGTGGCCTCCTCTTTTTTCGTTTTTTTTTTTAATTCTTCCAGGAACTTCTGTATTGTTGTTGCCGACTCCCAAATTGCTTTTTACTCACAGCTCAGCTCAGTTTGGCGGTTTTTCAACTAATGAACTCTCAATGCGCCAAACGCTCCTATTTATGCTCATAACCAGCCGGCGTTTGCGCGTTCCCCAAAACAGCTCAAAGCAATCATATCCACCACCAGTGCTGCACGATTCTATTGTATGTATGTATGTACATTAGGGTGGTCCAAAAAAATGCATGTAGAAGAAGTAAAGTCTGAATTCTAATGCTCGCACCCCCTAGGATTGTTCTATACCGAAAAAAGTATATCCTTATTTTTTTATTTTGAAATCATAGCGCCCAAACTTTTCCATGTATTTTATATGGGGAAAAACAACTTTTAGTAGAAATGGTATAGAATAGTTAAAAGTCAACATTTTTCTACCAGAAAACTCTGTTTATCTGCTGGGCATGACTGCCCCATAGCATTCTTCGGGTTTTTTGTGGGTTTTTGGCGGACCTATAAATTATAGTTGCGATGAAAAAATGGTTAAATAAACAAATTGGCTATTATTATTGAAAGTATCCTGAAGAGAACCAGCGTTCTCCGATCGAAAAATATTGATTTTCAAGAATTCTATAGCATTTCTACGAAAAATTTAATTTTTCCCATATAAAAATACATGGAAAACTTTGAGCGCTTTGAGCGACCTCTAAATATTTTTTGATTTCAAAACAAAAATAGGGGTATACTTTTTGGATATTGTTCAATCCTAGGGGGTGACAGCATTACAATTCCGACTTTGCTGTTTTTGGACCACCCTAATGTACCTACATATGTAAGAAGTAGTGTATGCCAATATGTATTTCAATAGCTTCCCAGTAGAACTTGGTAGCATCACGAGATTGCTCGGTGAGTACTCCCTTGTGTATTGTTGGAATAACCTCCAACAAACCTCGTATATAGGCAATAAGGAAGTCAACCAGAAAAACATTGCACATTCCTCCCAAACGAGCAATAAGGGAGTACTCCCATAAGCGTCATCCGGCAAGCATCTTGTCCAATTAAAAAAAAAAATACTGTTTCTATTCCCCTCTAATCCTGCCTTATGTAGTCAAAGGAGACTACTCCCACATTACTCCTGAGCTTTACGTTAGTTTAAAAGATTTAGCTATTTACGCAGTCCAATTATTTAACCTTTTAATGATAGTATAAAAAATTATATGAAAGTTAAACGTTATAGAAAAAAACTTGTAAAAATGGTAAGATATACACAGAAACGAAACGATTCAATCTGTTAACACTTTTGTTTGACGCGAACCTTTTTTCGAGTGAGGTTAGGACTTTAGTTTTACTTCTAATCTTATTATTTTTCTTTCCTGCTATCATTAATAAGTTTACATACGCGAAAAATCTCGCCTATTGCTTCGAAACCATACCCAAGGGAGTACTGTTTTCCCCACGTCTCCATTTTCTACTAAATGTGTCATTAACATCTGTCAAATTTCTGTTTTAACTTTGTCCCGCTTTCTCATGTGGGCAACTTGCTGTCTTATTTAGGGTTTACACCGGACAATATTGTAATATGAATTCGCCGTGTTTACAACAAACACATCATTTTGACATAATTGTCTTGACGATATTGTCCGGTGTAAACCAAGGCTTAATATATCACTTTCAAAATGGCATCAAGCTATTCAGATCGATCTGTACCCAATGTAGATGGCGCGGGAAAATGAAAACTACCAAATGACAGCTGATGTTAAGACAGCGGTGGTAAGAAATTCGGCAAGACAGATATGGTTTAACAGTGGAAATTTGCGGTCTCCACCTGACATTTCTGTCTTAAAACAGCTTTTTTAACAAAATCTGTAGAAGGTGGAGACGTGGGGTTAATTCCTCACTGCGGGAGATCTCCCTTCAAGTTCTAGTGGGAATTAAAAAGAACAAAATACGCGCATTGATGCACATACATGCATATATACATACATACATACATACATACATTCATACATACATACATACATACATAAATATGTATCGCAACAAAGGGGAGCAGTACATGCACACCCCCACCCCCAACCGCTAAATTGGGATATCGCGCATGCAGCAAGGAAATGATCGGGAATTCAGACAAACTGCATATACATACATACATACGTACATATGTATGTATATAAAGTACGTACATATGTATTTATGTATGTTTATTAGCATGACTGCATGTATGTATGTATGTTAGTTTGTAAATTGAAATGTGTTTTAAATTTATTGGTGCACGTGTTTGCTTGTGTGTGCGTGAGCTTGTATGGGGCCGAGCGCCAAACATTTTGCTGCCGGCATCTCTATTGTAACCGGCACTAGCTTGTGCCAGCGTTGAGCCGGCTACAAAGCCTGCATTTGCTCACCGTGCGTTCTGGTAAAACTTTTTTTATTTTATTTTGTTTTTATTACTCCAATTAGTGACTTGTTTTTTTTTCTTGAAGAATATTAAGAGAAAAACAAACTAAAAATTAGAGAACTAATGGTGAAATCTTTTTTCTTACAAGCGTTTATTTAACTTACTCTGTATGTATGTATACATAGAAACATAACTATGTATGTATGTTTGTTAGGGGCAAATCTTGCAATCAATTTTCGACCAACTTCCCGATGACCTAGAGACTTGAAACTGCACAGTTGGCTCAGAACCCGATGGCATTGCAATATGAAAGAGGAGCTAATCAGATAGGTGGCGCATAAGTCGATATGTTTTACAAAACCCGCTTTTATAGTCCGATTTAGTTCATATTTAGTACGTATATTAACATGAAAATGATAACTCCACTAAAAACTTTGCTGATAGGTGGCGCACCATCCGATATATTTGGTAAACCATTATTTATGTCCGATTTCGTTCATATTTAGAAAGCTTGCTTTAAAAATATTTTTTTTTTTTACTATTAACATATTTTCTTTCGATTTTATTTAATTTGTTTTTCTTGTTTTTTCTTTAACATTTTCCTTTTAAATTTTTTATCTGCATAAATTTCATATAAACTTTTTTTCCTTTTAACACATTTCTCTGTTTTCTATATCGTCGTTTAAAGTACAAAACCGCGTATCGTCATATTGCAAAACCGCGTAACTGACATTGGCTGCCAAAAATTGGATTTGCTCACGCAAGCTCTTGGTTCGATCCTTATCCATTCGTCCTGAAATATACTAGCGATAAATGCGATTTCTTTATAAAAAAGAGAACCATTTTGAAACTGTTATTCAAGTTGATTACTTAAAATTGTTTATCAAAACTTTTAAATTTATGTATTTGTCAGTGTTATTGTGGCTTATTAACATTTTATTTTTTAATATTTATCTTTTAAAATTATTTTATTTTAGTTTAATACACATTTTTTCAACAACTGTGCACGCGCCAGTTAAATGCAGTCCCTGAAAAAAACTTACGTGGTTGGGACGTTTGTATTTCACATATGTACATACTATATGTACTTTCGAGATAAGTAGGTAGGAAATACGGCTTGAAGAATTTCCATTAAGAAACTCATACAGTCATTAGCTTGTACATAATTATTCAACGGTCACGTGCAGTCGTATTTATGATAACTAATTAAAGTTAAACTGTTGCCAGTCAGATGTACATATTTTTCGCCATATATGAAATAATGACATCTTATTTTGATAAATTGAGGTGTTTTTCTTATTTTTTAATGATACATTCTCCTAGGTAGAGAATGTTTTTCCCAGCATTGACGTCTCGATTCCAGCAAGTACCACATTTTTGGCAAAACTGCAGCCTGTGGGGCGATTTGGACGTCAGGTTTACGTTGTAACATTTTGCGAAAAGTTTGGTTGTTCTGAATTCATTAACCATCAGAATATCTGCATGCCGTTGTTTTTGTCGAGTTCGCAGCAATGTCTGTTGATCCGATGCAGATTAACATTTTCTCTTCTTTGTTTGGTACCAGTTGTTGCGCAATTTGGTTGCAGTCTGTTTTGTCGGCAAATGTATTTCTTCAGCATCCAAATATTGTTATGGAATATAGTCAGAAATTTATTCGTATATAGTCAGAACTATCGTACAACTTGAGGTTTTTTCGCAGCATATTATACTCCTGGTCTATTGTGTACTTCGCTTTTTTCTTTAGCATCAACTGGTAATAACAGTCAAGAAAATTTATGGGCTCAAAGTTTTCTTGTTCCTAACGTTTCATCAAGGTAAAGTGAATGTATCTTGATACCTCGACAAATAGAGACGACATCTCCTCCACATCCTTTTGTATTTGATCATATACGGAGTCATTTTTGCACGACGATCGTAAATCTTTTTCCACCACGGAATAGGTTATTTTATTACATTCACCTTCTTTGCTGCTTTCGCCAAGTGGCCTTTTGCGACTCATGACGAAAAATTAATTTTATTGCAAATTTGTAATGTCCCAAATTTCTGCTGGTTCACGAGAGTTAAATCTGCAGAGAACCATAAATAAATAAAATTAGGTTAATTTATTAGCAACGACGGGAATTCTGAGATTAAAAGGTGACAGGTAGGTGACATTTTTAATACAGTTTTATTT